GCCTAGAAGGTGGGACTTCATTCGTTTAAGTACAAAATCTGGAGAGAGAGGTAAATGGAGACTTCTTGTCAAGCTTTGTTGCATAAAATAATAGCTGACCAGTATGAACAGGGCAAAGGAGCACAGTGTAGAGTTCGCAAATGGCCATTTGGCCGGAAGCTTCATCCGCCGGCTATTGGTTGCTGATGAGTAAGCTGTTCAGCATAGCCAGTGATGGGGCGCTGGGCGTAACTATCCATGCAATCACGATGGCATAATGTCGAGGTGCCTTTTGAGACATGCAGGTGGCCCGGAACAGGCAAGTTCGAAACAAAATTCCGCATCTCCATCTCTAAGAAGGTTCTGACTATCGATCAGGGCCTCGGTGGCTGCACAGTTTGTGCACACAGGCCCGTCGAATAGGCTTGAGGTTTTTAGGTCCTTCTCGTTTACTTCTTGTCCACATTCCACGCAGCAGGCAAATTTCATGCAATCCTGACCAGAAATTAATGGCCTTAAGTCCGTTTGAGCAAAGGGCTTTTTGCAGGTGGGACATACATGCCGCTTAGAGTGAAGGACGTCCTCGAGGCAGGGCAACCGACAGAAACAATGTTGACAGGGAAGAACGTAGGGATTGTTGTACGGTCCGGAGCAGATAGTGCAATTATTGAGGCTATCATACTCGTCAGCGGTAATCCGCAATCCCGCCATGCTTGTCGCTGCTCGATCGCCAGTTCAGTGACACAGACACATTCACAGTTTCAACACGCCAGCGCACGCAGGTGTGTAGAGCAATTTCTCTGCGGCTAGGCGATCGACACTGCGCACAGCAGGCAGGACGCAGTCAACAAGGCGACTACGCGTGACAAGCGCCACTGACCGCCGTAGCCAATGGCAGTTGATCTGCAAGAATTCCGTAGCCTGCCTTACATCACAGTTGCAGTAATACCGCAGCCTTGTCATGCAACATTTCTGTCCGCCTCACGCTCCCTGTGAATTCGCTGCTGGGACCGCATGGGACTTGGCACTAGCCACGCGAGGGCTCGAAACCAATCTACGCCACTCCATCACTAATTGGCTGAAGGCGGCCACAGTATCGGCAGAGCAAAAGGGCGCACATGCGCTGGGATCCAGAATGCTCAAGAGCAGACATTCACGCAAACATACGCCTGAAGAGACGGCTTGCGGCAAATGCTTCCTGCGTCTCCGGTACAGTCTTTAGCATCAGTAAAACTTGGCCAACCTAGTCTGTCATCACTGACTTGTGAAGTGGGAATCTTCATGTTGTCGACTATTGGGAATTCTCGTGCCTGCTCTCCATCTCAACAACTGGTGTTCCCCCTCAAACGCCAATCTCCCCTCTTCCAAATTTACGATATACCCGGCTGCCGACAATGGACAGCATTCCACCGGAAGTTCAGCATATTTTCACACTATATTCTGGCTCCATTTTGGCCGAACCTCTTTACAGATTCATTTTCTCCCAACGTCACCACCGCCTGCTGGTATGAAATGAAATATGGCGCCGATGTCGGCCCTCCATCTCTCCCTGCCTTTTCACCTCAAATCATAGCAAACCAGTTAGCCCGAAGGTCACTGTGACCAATCTTACTGCCGTCCCAAATCCTGATAGCGCCTTTTACGTCTGCGACAACTAGAGCGACAGACGATTCCCCGCAGACACTGGTGCTCAGCTGTCATTTCTCCTACAGCAGCCGACCGTCGATACTCAAGCCCCGACCTCTTCATTCAGACCGTCAAAACCTCGCCAAATATCAAGTTCTTTACCTGCTATCTCTCTCTCTCTCTCTTGGCAACGGCTCCCTGGACCCCGACCCACATTGTCAATCTCGGCAGTTCCCAGTCAAATACCCCTGTCTCCTCCGTCCTAACTTCAGTGCCTCGATTCCATCGCAGGGCGTTGTTCATCATATCCGAACCACTGACCCTGCTGTGCTTTCCCGACCTCTGCGTCTCGCGCCTGCATGACTGCTTGCGACCAAAGCCGATTTTGAGCGCATGCTGGCATTCCTACTGTTGACTGCCGGACCTTGAACAATATCACCATCCCCGGCCGCGACCCTCTCCCCTATTTTCAGGATTTTGCCAGTATCCTATTCGGCAAGTCTGTCTTTTCGAAGACTGACCTGATCCGGACCTTCCTTCAGAGCCCCATCGCCGTGGTGGATGTTCCAAACACAGGTTGTCACCACCCCCTTAGACCTCTGAGTTCCTGCGCATGCCGCTTGAACACGGCAACGCCTCCTAGACCTTCCAGATGTCCGTAGACAGAGTGCTTCGCGACTTATACTCTCTCTGACATTTCAACCGTCGTGCTCGACGATGTCCATCGTGGTCTCAACAGCAGGGCGAATGCAGGAATGGTGACTTGTGCGTGATTTTTTTATGGCGATAGTAGACTTGCGCCACACCTACCGCACTCCCTCCTCCACTTCCCCACCTGGGCTCGGTGTCAAGACATAGTCAAGAAGATCGGAGGCGGGAGAAGGCGTAGGGGGTTGGCACGGCCGGACACAAACCTACGCGTACCACAACACCTCTGGTTCACAATACTTAATCAGGATTCTAACCAGTAGCAACGATAGCAACGGCTAGCGCGGCCGGAGCCTGCCCTCGGCGTGCCGCCACGTGCGACTCCGATCCCACGGAGTGGGAGTGCTAAAGAGGCCATATTAAGGAGAGCAGTTGCAGCCTGATGCTCAGACCTCCGGTCCGCCACTTCAGACAAACACACACGTGTCTGACGTTTAGGCTGGAGCAGGGGCGGTCGTGGAGACAGCAGTTGCGGTCGTCGGGTGGTTGATGCATTGGGTTCGGCGATGACCGAAGAGGCCGATCTGCGCGCGGAATGTTCGTTGACCGCGCGGACACGTTGGGTCGCACTGAGTGCTGATATTGCGAATCGGAGGAGTCTGAGACTTGCCAACGGTCCTTTTGGTTTTGGCGTTGGCTGCCCGGTTTGCTTCATAGACGACTGCCTTCTATTACCCAGGTCGGTCTGTTCTGGGCGGAGTTCTTCCAGTCCGAGTTAACCTGCAATCGCCTCAGAGATTTTTTAAAAGTGTCCTTATAGCGTTGTTTTTGTTCCCCTGGTCGGCGAGCACCCATGGCGACATCTCGGTAGAAAAGTTGTTTGGTAGGCGAGTGTAGTCCATTATCTCCAGATGGCTGCCCCATCCCAATCGCAGTTGCCTCAGCATGGCGTGGATGCCCAGGATTCCGACTCGTTCTAGGACTTCCCTGTCCGGTAACCTCTCTGCCATCTCAGCTTCAGTATTCTGTGGAGGCAGCCGAGATGGAAGTGGTTGAGCTTCCTGACACGACTGGAGTAGACTGTCGAGATAGCCACTCCGTACAGAATTGTCGTCAAGACGAGGGCTTGTTCATCTTCAGTTTGGTGTTCATTTGCAGTCCGTGGCGATTCTAAATGGAGGCTTAAAGCCGGCCGAAGGCCTAACTGGCTTTGGGAAGGCGACGGGTTACCTCATCGTCAATGTTTATGCTGCGCAAAAGCGGGCTTCCTAGGTAAATGAAGCTGTCCACAGTTTTGAGCTGGCTGTCGTTCACAGTGATTTAGTGAGAGCTGTACTTCGCGCTAGGTGACGGTTTGTGCATGACCGCCGTTTCTTCCGTGTTGATGGTCAGTCCGAAGTTGTTGCAGCCGGCAGCCAGGAGGTTCATGCTCCGTTGCATGTTCACTTCGGTCGTGGTGTTGAGCACGCAGTCGTCGACGACGAGCAGTTCATGGACTGTGGTCGCAGACAGCCGCATTGGGGCCTTCGTGCGCTTGTTGTTGAGAAGATGCCAGTAAATTCTGTAGGCGCCGCCGCCGCCGCCACCGCCTCCTCCTCCTGTCGTTGCTGCTGCTGGTGGCGCCTGTGGTGATGATGATGATGATGATGATGATGATGATGATGATGATGATGATGATGATGATGATGATGATGATGATGATGATGATGATGATGATGATGATGATGATGATGAGTGATGCCATCACTGATGCTTGTCGTATCAGTCCAACTAGTAGAATCAATGCTGCTAATAGCTCTACGCCCCCTGACTGTCGTTCGACTAGAAAATTATAACACTGGCACCGTTAGTACAATCCGCGGCAGTAGTCGCACTCTTACACTACTGCTACAACAACAACAATAACAGCAACTACTGAAGTTGGGACGCGTGTAGCTGCTGATATTATTACGAAGGCCCTACCGTGAATGGCGAGACCATGATTGTTATTTCTGCTCCCAGCGTCACCAAAAGCACCACAGCTGCGACCGCCCCAATCCTGTAAGTGATACAATTATTTCCGTACCCCCTGTGTCTACAATTGGTTCAAGCATTATTCCACGCCTAAAAATACTGTCACTGATGTGATAACTGATCAATGAGGAGTTGAATATTCCAAGAAAGCCTCCTACGAAATGTAAAAAAAGAAAAGTCAAGCGTTGGAGACAGTGCTTTATTAGTCTAGGCATTTGAACTGCTTCAACCAGTCATCGTCAGAAAACTGCAGAAGGCAACGGGCTAAGTAAGCAAATCAGACAACCAGCTCCTTTTTGTGCCACTGTGGCGAGCTGCGCCCACCTTGGTGCTAGTCGCCAGTCCTGTGGTAGGACCGTATCCTCCAGCCTGGCAGTGGCGTGAAGTTCGGCAGAACCGTTTCTCGATTCATGGCCCTGCAGAGTATGCTGCCCGGACTGTCTAGACATCACGTCACGTGCGCGCGGCCCTACGTCACGTACCCCGTGCGGAAAGCCGTGGTGCTGATTGGCCACCCTTCAGCTTATGCCAGTCCTCTCCCCTCTGCCATATACCCATCCGTTTCTGCAAGGCTTCCCACTCGTGTTGTCTCCCGTACCCAGTAACACGTCCTGTCTACAACTAACCTTCTGTTTTGCATGCAGAGCAGCCCAATTCGCACGCTCAGATCAAATAGTGGTCTGTCTTGCCCCTGGCTCTCCTCGACCAGTACCGCGGCTGCAAAATGAAGGTGTGATCTCTTCTGGGCTGTGTGCATTAGCGTGTCGAAGTATGCTAGGCGACAACCCAGAAGTTGTCAAATCAGAAGGCAGAGAGGATATATGAACAAACTTTACTGAGGTCTGTTGCAACGCTGTGCCACTCGAGCTTACTTGCACAAGCGTAGCGACAGTTCGTTCACCGAATCTGACGATGCGCCCCGCAGTATAGTTGGCGCAGGGACAGTGATTTGCGCGTAAATTAGTTTATAGTCACAGAGGAGTTGCGATGTATCTACTGCAATCTCTCCTCCTCATCCGCCTGAGGTTGGTGTCGCGACAACGTCCGGAGGACCGGAGGTAGGATCTGGCGCAGACAACCGGCGCAGTGTGAGCCTGTAACTAGGCACGCCACTACACCCCCCCCCCTGTATGGCATTTGTTAGGGTTGCGCAGCCCAGTAACATGTCCCGCACCCTGATCTGGCCTCCGCGATGGTCCAGCGCATCTACCACGCGGCGCATTGTAGGGGCATATGTGCGTACCAGTGGTAGTCTGGTTAGCGGCCAATCCCAGATATTGGAACCAACCAATCAACTTCAAGGCAGACTCATACGCCCTCGCCCATGGTGTCATGACGACTCCTCTCTCATACTCGGGATGCCTGCTCTCGTGGCGTCGGACGTTTGCCACTGTCCGGCTGCCAACTTGTTCTCCGATCATTCTGTACAGAATACAATTCCCTCTCAGCTGGCGTTCACATTTCATATTTCCAATCGGACCAAGGTCTGAAGTTCGTAGTGCCTAAGGTCTGCCTTGGCCTTAAGCTCACGCGACACACGCAGCTCAACCGGAAATCCACAGCCGAATTGCATGCGCCCGATCCTCGTCTGTCTGTGGCCAGTCAGTAAAGGGAGAAATGTCGATCGGCGTCAGAGAAGCGAAAGTTCAGTCGCACGCACATGTGCAGTTCTTGACAGGCGCGCAAAACGGACTGAAGGCGATATGGGTAAGCAGTGGTGCGGACGATGTTGAGGGCGTACAGCTACGACACACTCCAACTGGATCGATGTCCTGCGTGAAAACGACGCCAAGGGGCAAGTGATAAGACGGTCGGGAAATTGCATTCGACGACCGCTATGATTATTGTGAATCTCAGTGGCAGTGTAAAGGTCGTAATCAGGGATGGTGGGATGGGAAGAAGTAGAACTAGGACAGATGGGGGAGTGGGCCTAGACAGTTAGCACACTTTTGTCCTTGGAACAGGTTCGGCGATTGTTCAGGGATAACACCTTTGATCCTATGGATACTGACCACGTCCACCTTGTCAGCATGGAGAATCTGGCAGGTTCTGGTAGTGCACAAGAATGTCCCGAACGGTCCTCTGTATGGTGATTCCAACGGATTTCGCACACGGTCTCACCGGATGAACACGCGAGTGGAGTCGGTCAAGTCTTTCTCGACATAAGACTCGGTCGGTGGAGTTCGAGACGGAGCCGGGGATATCAGATTCGTAATTTGACGTAGACGACGCTCAAAGCTGTCAGGACTCTCGTCGTAATGCCGACAGGCTGGGATAGCCAATTCGCCTGGCAGTCGGAGAGCAGCCCCGAAAAGCAATTCGGCTGCACTGAAATCCAGACCCGACTTCAGTGCCGCGCAAATGTCAAGAACTGTCAGAGCAAGGGGGTCCGCTCAATTCGTTAGGTCCTATGGAGCATGTTGGGCGGTCTTCAGTTGACGGTGAGCATTATGGGACAGTTGGAAATGCGTGGTGTGTGGAGCCTCTAGGTAGGGACTACAGCTGGTAGGAATGAAATGTTCCATGAACCTTGACGCGTTTGATGTTAGTTCCGTACGGCCTTCAACGGTGACCTCACGTAGCTGTGCTCTCTGCGTGATCTCCCACGGCAACCATTACGACTGATGAGTAAAACTAGAGCAAGGCAGGCAGCGAAGTTTTGGGCACTGTCTGGTCCATTCAGTTCAGGTGGGCCTACCGTTCTGTGATACGCATAGGCAGTCAACCACAACTCGCCGCACCCGACCTCTTATACAGCATTAGAATATTCCTTCGGAGGAGGCGGCATCACTTTATGGACAACCCAGGCAAAGTTTGGTAGTCTTCACAGTAAACAAAAGTCGTGACACAAAGTGGAATTCGGTAGTCGAGGGGAGTGGGGGATGCGGTTCAGTGATCGTTCTTGACATTCGAAATGGCTGCACAAGGAAGCCTATTGCCTTCCCAAGAGGAATAAACGATCGACTCCCAGCGTTAAGATCACTGCTCTTCCGGCAGAAATTTGCCGCAGTTATTGGTGTCGGCGCTCCATGAACTATTAGCGGACAATGTGTATGAGAACTTGCACTCCTTTAGGACGATGGTGGAAAAGCTCACCCATCTGGGAGGCCTCAATGGGCGAATAATTACCCGGGAGTGAGTGGTCGGTCGTCTTAGTGCTGATATGCGCATCAACAACAGACTTCTCAGGCTACTTCGAACACAGTCCTGGGCAAGGGTATAGTTTATGGCCGGGGTCACTTAGTACGGGGAACATTTGTGCAAAAAGAAAATAACTAGAGGTGTTTATTTGTACGTGACAGAGAAAGAAATAGGAAAACCTCGCGGTTTAAGAACAGTCAAGTTGCTTTAAGGTAGTCATCGGAGTAAAAACACGACAATACAGTACCTTCTTTGACAATGTCTACAAAGGGACATTAAATTCATCTATTATCATCACCAAATGGCAAAAATAGTGTCCCCTTCTAATTGGTGACAATATGGAGGACCGCAAGTTGTGATAGCACAAAGTTCTTGGATATTCAGCTCTTTTGCTCAGCACAAATGCTCTCCGGAGTAAGAAACGCCGGCCGTAAACCACACCCTTGCCCAGTCCTGCACAAACACCGTTTTCCACCTCCTAAACGGCAAAAAGTAAACCTGGCTGTGCGCATGTTCCCATCACTGGAAATTGCGAAAGCATCCGGAGGCTGCATGGATGGCACATGGTACAAATGGTTTGCCATACTGACAGCACAGGTATCAGCCAAAAGGATTTAGCGCATTGCTCTCTTCGCACTGCCAACCAACCAGGCAGATGGTTTTAGAGCAAGAGACCACCATAATTTCGTTCCCTTCCCCTTGCTTTTGCGTGAATTTGTTTCACGGACGTTCCATTTTATTCCCACTAGTAGATTATTTTTTCCAGCACGTCAGGAAGATGCGCTGTGTTCTTCTACTCACCTTCTTCTAAAATAAGCCTGCAACAGGCTCTGTCAGTTTAAGGCGACGATGTCAGGACACGAAATCGTCGTTTGGTACCTCCCAAAGGCTGCTCCTGGTCGTCGTGATCATCATCATCATCATCATCATCATCATCATCATCATCATCATCATCATCATCATCATCATCATCATCATCATCATCATCATCATCATCATCATCATCATCATCATCATCATCATCATCATCATCATCATCATCATCGTCATCATCATCATCATCATCATCATCATCATCATCACCATCACCGTTGCCTGATTTATCATTATTACTAGTAGTAGTAGTAGTAGTAGTAGTAGTAGTAGTAGTAGTAGTAGTAGTAGTAGTAGTAGTAGTAGTAGTAGTAGTAGTAGTAGTAAGCCTATGGCAACGTCTTAGGGGACTTGCCGAGACAAAAGTGGTATTACCACTCACAATACCCCAATTTTTAATAGGACTTAAAGTGACGTTTGTGATATGAATAGTAGTCGCTGATGCAGTAGCCATCCTAATATTTGTTGACAGATGTTGTGACAGTCATGGTAAAAGTGTATCGGATGATGCATCGGTGATGCTGCTCGTATTATTTTTAATGATAATCGCAAAGCACTCGTAGTTGTAGAATTGGTAGAATTAGATGTAATACTTGTCTTATCATGAGCGAACGGGAATACAGTGCTATATCGACCGTAGGAGTTGATAAACTAACCATGTGTCTGATTGGAATTCTCATAGAAACAGCAGTTAGTCGTGCAACTTAAAGCAGCGAAACTGCTAAAATTGTGTCTGCATTCGCCAATTAAACGTACGGATCAACAGCGCAAACGGCATTGGTTGTGCTACCGACAAAACGATTGGTTCACTGACACTTATTCGCGTGCATACGGCATCGTCACCATTATGCAGACACAGCGGTGATGCCGAAAACTCCACAACAGTAGCGCGATGGTGGACCTGTCAGATGAATTATCACGTCTAATAGAGTGCTCCCTCTGTTTGGAAATTTGTAAAACGCCATACAGACTGCCATGTGAACACTTCTATTGCAAGGAACCCTGTCTCAAGAATTTGACCAAAACCGTACCCTCCCTCTGTCCGCTTTGTAGACAGGCCTTTACGTTGGCAGAGGCGCAACCCTTCCGTCTGCTTAACGACCTTCTGGAAATGGTTCAGCAACCAAAGCATGACAACCAGAACGACAAAGTAACATTCACTGAGTTCGGTCGGCAGACTGACTCGCCACCGCAAGCATTCGGAAATTTCGGAAAACCAGTGTGTGAGGACCGCAGGCAGTTTGCAAACCTAAACCAGCAACTTCCAAAATTCGACAAAAAACCGGAAACGTGTGAAACGGCTCGGATCCCACAGTCTGACTGCGGAAATATCTGCTACTCTCTCACTTGTGCGGGTCCCAGCGTCTGCAAGTTGATACACATTGACGACTTAACCTTCTGCAGTACGACTGTCGCACATCCAGCGGGGCCAAGTGGAAATAATAGGTCCCCTGGACAGTCCTGCGGGAAGAAATCAACCAATTCATCGCAGTTTCCGCAGAAGGAAACGGCAGAGAAGAATAAACCGACTATCGTCACAGGCAATGCGGCGGCGGAAGCGGCAGCAACAGTGACAATCCGATCTTCCGAAGAGCAGAACGCGTCTGTTCTATGTACCAACCTCGCGTGTGAGGGTTCCGGCGTCTGCAAGTTGATGCACGCTGATGATCTACTTTACGCGTCTGAGAATCGAGGTCTCCCAACGAAACTGAATGGAAACAGTACTCCAATGCCTCCGCGACTGGAAAAACTAAAGAGTGAGAAGGCCTCGGATGATAATTCGGAACTTTGTACCAACTTATCTTGCAGTGGAATGCCCATGTGCCCGAAGATACATCTTTCCGATGTCCTAAACCCTTCCTACGGTTACCGCAGCGGGCACGAGAGGCCCCTGCCTACTCAGCAACCAGCCCCTGCACGACCAACGTCGATCTCGAAACCCGAGCCGGCGGGCAGAAAAGTGCAAGAGGGGGAGTTACCGGAGGTTGGACAGTTTTGCACTGACATCACTTGTCGCGGTTCACGTGTGTGTTCCAAAATCCACATGAATGATTTAATGGCTTGAATGGGCCAACACGGTGGGCAAAGAGAGAAGGAAGTCAGTTGCATTACAGAACACTGTCTGCACCTCAACCACATCATCACTCTTTTACGTCGTTCCGTGTCGTATTTGTGCACGATGTGTGTAATAAATTTATTTATACTGTGTCTTTGCCACCACGCCTGTGTTGTTTTGACTTCTCGGAAGGATCTGGGCAAAATAAGTGACCCTGCGGCGTCAGGACATGCCACACCAGGCACAGTGGCGCGCACATCAGATGCGGCCCTGACCGATGTGTGTGTGTGTGTGTGTGTGACCTTGACGTGCATAGCATCCACCAACAATTGACTGAGCCGGCGGCCAGCAGACCGTTTCGCCTTTTGCCTAGGGTAATATCCATTCACTCAACGCTCTACTGCCGGATTCTGACTTCGGAACTCAATAATATAATACGTAGCAGATGGTGTCGATCCCTGCATGTCCAAAATCCCCAGTGTCTACTGTTTACGGGGCATTCCTAGTAGAGAACTGGCAGAAACGATTACGACAACAAATACTATTCTAGAACACTAATTTGGGCCAAAATTATTCCCGTACATACACACACACAATCTATTTTATCTTCTTACCGCATCCTCTGCCAAAATAAAAGTAGACTTGCAGAACCTTGCTGTAGAATGCTCATGACAAACTCCGCATCCGAAGGTTAGTATTGCAGTATGTTATTACCGACAAAGATAAGAGAGACTGGAATGGCCATTTCAGGCTTATTAGCCGTCATCAGCCAGTCATGCCCAACCCCGATGTGTGGAACACCCGAGGCTCGAGGTCAGTATTGTGTTGGCCCTTCACAGGTTGCAACCAATCCCTACGGATTCATTCTCAAAAGCCAGTATACCTTAGAAAGTAATTAATGTTTGCTGCCATTTAGTTCGGTAATCCAAATTGCTCCAGAAATCTTGAAGTCGTTTGAGATTAATTAATACGAAAGCACTGAACAT